AATAGAGCGATACGTATGTGTACACTTGTAGAGTATAAGATTCATCTAATAATGATTTGACGGATGGTTGAAACGAAAGCTAAGTTATGGAAATGTTAACCCTTAGACATATTTCGGCCCCTATCGGTACTAATCACCAAATGGATTTACAATGTTAGCTATTATTGAAATCAGGACGTAACTTTCGAATTCATGAACAAAAGTTCTGAGTGTAATGATAGTTTATTCCACAGATAGGTATATTTGAGCAGGAAGAAATTGGAGTTCATGTTTCTCAGAGCATTCGGGGTAGCCAGTGTATGGCGCTTATTGCGACGCTTACGAATTGATCTATGTTACAGATGGAACGTAGGCAGATCTGGTCATTTAGAGTTAGCGCTGCTGTATCTCCTTGGAGTAGCGTTTTTAAAACGCTAGTTACTGTGGATATGCGATTCTCTGGTTTATTTGAATAATTCTGAAGTCATCATTTTGAAATCGTCCCAATAGACTGTGTGAAACGTACCGCACGTCGCATTCGGTCTCGAAGTTAGAAACACATAAAGACGAATATCTAAAGAACGTTTTGATCAAATGAGTAGGCACCGTGTTGGTTGGGAAGATGAACTCAGACACCGGCCTATAAAGAGAGCGCAAATTTCGCCGCCCTAGGAAGTCGCAGAATCGCGGAGGCGTTATCACGTACATCAAACAATTGTGGTGTGAATTGGTAACTTTAATCTCTACATATTCAGTATTCAAAAATGGATGTAATCTACTTGGGTGCAAACCAAATTTGGGAGTGGATTTTCGTTGTCAACAAAAACCTCTATATAGCCCCGGCCACATCAACATCTGGGCTTAAGAACTTTGCGGACAATTTCTCCCCAGCGTTACAGCATAGATAAAAGTGGCCTCTGTATGGCTGCTGATAACTAACAAAAGTGATTCGAGAATCACCAAGATAAGCAGTCTAAGAAATATCGTGTCTCACAACACCGGACATGACGAACAGCAGTTTTAAAATGGGCTCGTTTCGGCAAGTCAGACCATTGTGTCCTTAAGATATGTCCAGTTGTTAAGAGCAAAAACGATACTGTCTCTGAAAAAAGCAGCTAAATCCGAAAGGCAGCGAGACCGCTTCACAGTAAATATGATGAAATTCTAAACGATGGTGGCCCCAACTGAACTGGACTAAAACCTATGGGTAAGATGCGAGTACCTTACCGAATATATCAACCTCTATTGGAAATGATTTGGAATATTGGTAGCTCGGGAGGCTTGCTCAGTTGTTGTGGAGTTCTCCGAGCTGGGCAACTTGGTTGCAAACGTTTCGCCACCATTCGAGGTGGCATCTTCAGTGCGGGATTGATAACAGTAAAGTAGCAGTAGCTGGTAGAAAGCAAACCCAATAATGGATCCAATAATGGATCCGCGAATGACTATTGAACACCGTTCCCCAGAGAATGCTTGGTGGATGGTGAAGGCGAAGCAGGGAATGAAAGGTTGAATGCCGCTAATAAAATGAATTATTTGACATATGTAGGCAGTGTATGGGCCCATCTTGCAGCCGTAAGGACACAAAGCATTATTGTATGCTGCCGGCACATAAACTGCCGACATTATATAAATTCGCCGAAAGCATTTTGACTGTCTTTTGAACAACCGGTCAGAGATCGACTGGCCTAGGTTGCACGAAATGACAAAGAATGAAATGATGATGTGTCTTGCTGACACACCGGAACTGCATGAGACGCACAGAGCAGTTGCTCAGCTGCAAAACGGAAAATGCGCTGGTTCCGACGGGATACCGTCAGAAATATTGAAACATGAAGGAGTCGAGTTGATATATGCACTGTGCCACTTGGTGCAACGCGTGTGGTTTGAAAAGGAACTGCCGGCAGAGGTAATAGATGCCTTTGTGCTACCACCGTACAAGGGCACAGAAAGCAAGCAATGTGCCGCAAATTATCGTGGCATCAACTTGCTGAGTTGTGATGAGAATGTGATAGCACGAGTACTAGTCAACCGCCTCATCAACCAGGTTGCTGAACCGAAAGCGGTGGAAGGGAAATGTGGATTCCGTTCGGGCCACAGCACCATGGAGATATGACGTTCGGGGCTAGTCAACTGCAGATGATATGTAGAAAGCGACATCCGCCGTCGTACTCGCTGTTTGTAGACTTCACCAAGGCAATAGACCCGGTGAACCGTTAGACACTGTAGCCGGTGTGGGATAAATTTGATTGCCAGAGTAAGCTGTGACTCTAAATGAATGCCTGCGTAGTGGTTTGCGGGTGAGAGTGTAGTTATGTAAACAAACCTCGGATAAGTTTAATGTAGTATCTGGTGTAAAGCAAGACTGTCTTAGCCGCTACTTGTTCAATATTCAACTAAATGAGATTATGTCCTTGGTTTTAAAACTTTTGCTTACGGTGTCCATGTGGAGCACCGTATTGATGGTGGTTTACTGAACATCTGCCTTTTCGGAGAGAGGACCATAGTGTGTGAGACACGCATCCGTATGTTGCTGTTCGCCGACATGTGCGCGATATTTGTACACAGTGAAGATGAGTTGCAGAGCATGACGACGGATCTCGCTTCGATATCTGCCAAATACGGACTCACCATAAAGACAAGCAAGATCGTAGGCATACCTTTTTCAGACGACACCTTATATACAATCAGTGGCCTTGTCACAAATCTAGATTGCTGAGCACGTTTTGGTAATAAGATCGTGGTTTTGCTACCTAGGAAGCGTCTCTTCTACGCACATACAGATGGTAAGCGAAGGCGGCTGTTGCAGTTAGGAAACTTGAAAATTAGGTGTGGAAGAGTTCCCAGGTTACTGTTAGGACGAAGATGTCGCTACTCCTAACCGGCAGCGAAACCAGGACTCTGTGTCGGGAGGACTACCGGTGTGACTGGACGCAGAACATCCAAATGAGTCTGCCTGATCGATGACTAGGGAAACCACTTGGTTGCCAGCAGCGGGAGACACTTGGTAAGTCTATAGATAACGACAACGTGCCAAAGAATGGTCAGGGTCGATACATGTATTACAGGACCGGCGACAGTCCGGAATGGAAGCACAACAACGTGATGTATTCGAGTCCATGCCTGGCCAGAAAAGGGGTAAGCTAAGCGGCACACCGGCGCCCACTGAGCCTAAAAGCGATGCAACTAAGAAACAGCTAATGCTCCGCGCACAGTTGCAACAGACGCTCGCCGTTGTCATTCCGGTCTGAGTTAAGCTTATACTTATAACCAGGCTGACCTAGTTGCGTATTCATGTCCCCGGCAAAAATACGAAGGATAGAATGGTAAGGATGCGGACCAGCGTGTCCAGTTTGGAGAAAAATGCATTCTTGACGGCATCAAAATTGTAAGCAGTATAAACGTAAGCAGAAAACACTGACATTTATTACCGCATCAGTGTCTCCAGATGCGTGTAAGCAGTAGCAAGAGGACCAACCAGGCGCAGTTAAATCAACAACCCCATGAGGGTCAATGATTCTAGTTTCAGATACGCAACACACGTCAATATCCAGTGGGTCTAACGTGCGTGCGAGTGCAGCCTGTTGACCTATTAGTCCTAGATTGCGAGCGCTGAGGTGGGCCACGGAAACGGGACTGCAGCCAATAGGCGTGCAGTGAAAGGTGCGGGAAGATGGTTGCAGATGGTTCTATCGCAGTGGCACCACCGCTGTTATCTTTTAAGCCGGGAATTATACAAGGAAGATTAGTAATGGGGGCAGGGGTGGGAGTAAGAGAAACAAGTGAGAAACAAAAAAGGGAGGCGCCAGAATTAACATCTTTTTGCTTATCCACCCTGCTGTATGCAGCAGTTAAGGCAACCGTTGATAAGCTGCGCGACGGCTGATGAAGTTTGATGAAAAGGTTATGGTTGGACGTGGACTGAGATATTGCCAGAGCGCCCAGACATACACAGGAGAAAGATGAGAGTCCTCAACCAAAGCTTTTGGATCAAAAGCCTGCCGCGAGGCAGCGAGGTGGCGGCGATCCAGTTTTGCAGAAATGGACGCTATACCATTTCTAAACCATATTTTAGAACATCAGGAAAGTGGGTTTGTTTAACCCCAAACCACTGACTAACCTGGTAGGAGAAGCTCTCAAGGGCTTCCTGGAGTCAGCATACTTGTCGTGACGGTTTTTCGACAAGTGGGCACCATGACAACATTTACAATAAGCGCAGCGACACCGAGGATGCCATTCAACAGTCAACACCTGTAACACGAGAAAAGCAACTCACAGGAATACGTACAGACCAACGGCAGCGATGATGTAGTACGCATGCCACATCGACCGATTACTGACCTGGATTTGTAAACGGAGATGTATAGGAAGTAATGTACTTATCAAGTGTTGCGCTGATGCGTACTTACTCTGTATACTCCTAACGTCTTTGATAACGGTAAATCATGCCAAAGCTGGCGGCTTACCAGACATTATATATATATATATATATATATATATATATATATATATATATATATATATATAGCGGATATTTGGCTATTTAACGTAAAAGTGCACGCGCCAGACTGAACAAATTTCGCGCTGTACTTCTTCATGACAGTTCACCAAAAAGTTTGACCAACTAGGCCTATCGACAGTACGCAATGGACTTCTAAGTAGACAGTCAGGCAAACACACGGAATATATGGCCTAGTTGAAATAAACGGCTCAAATTTATCAAACACGTCAAGGGCAACAGAGTGATGCGTTCAAAACACCAAGTGGAAAAATGTTCTACTGTCTACTGGGTACTTCCGCCAGATGTGAGCAATTGTCCGCAAGCAGGTAGTTGATATGCACATTTGATGGCCTCAGAGTAACAGTTTGAATTGGATAAGTAATAGTCGCGAAGCATAATTAAGCAGATGAACTCCTCCATTCAACTAACGGGTTATCAAAGGAAATCGAAACAGTGAGCTGTCTAATTCAAGTAAATAAAATAAAACGAGAAATTTAAAAGTAGGAATGAGACGGTGGCTCACCTGAGTACTGACACCAAAGGCAACTCAAAACAATCGTAAGGGATAGGAAGAAATGGCAATAAACCGATACGATAAGCGATGAGGTAACCGATTACCACTCCCGGTGGTGGATAAGTAAGCACTGACGAGTTAGCGCGTTTGCACTTCAAGGTTGTCACTCGGCGCATACTGCCCCAGACAGTTAATCGCTCCCGTTTGTATTTAGTTATCAAGGAGGACACCTACAAGTGAAAGGAACAATAGGCAAAGGTATTGTGCATCGACGCATACTCTGCAGGCATAGTTAGAAATAACACGAAAGTTAATGTTTATTAAGTTTACTTAGTAAGTCAGCAACTCGGTGTATCCTTTTAGCACAGCTAAGAACGCGTTGTACTGCGTTCAAAAGACAAAAGTGCTTTGAGGAAAAGTGTACGGTTTGCAGCAGTAGACGTGAATGGCCAGGGCAAAACCAGCATGTTTACACAGATCAAGAATGTATGTGAATCGGAATGAGACCACCCAAGCTAGGAGCTCCAGCGATGTGAGTGGGTGAGATCAACATCACGGGTATTTATGATACTCATGACGAGAGTGATGGCGTTTCACATCAGCCAATGTGTGCTTGAAGCAAAGTTCCGACTCCAGTAGGTTAATAAGCAGAACCAAACGCTATCGAATGTGACCAAAGGATGCGAGACGTCAGAGGCTAAGATGAATTCAACAATCTGTTGGTAAGGTGAGGATAGTGATAAGATCATTCTTCACGGCGAAGAGAAACTTGCTAGACGAACGTCTCACCGGCGAACACAAACAAACGGAGTTATGGTGTCTGTAATAAGATGGAACCTCATACTGTAGACTGTCTAATAGGCGAACACCAGCAGAATGGGATACTGTGAGGTCGCTCGTATCCAAACAGGATCGAACCAGTGCGTTGTGACGATGAAATAGGTGAAATCAATTTGGAGCAATTACGCAAGTGTGCTGAGGTCAGCAGCGAGGAAGAAATAACACGTCTTATAACGGCATCTGCTTCCAAAGTGACCACTTTCGAAGAACAGGTAAGTACGCATTAGTAAATATGTACATTGTTTAGCTTACTCCCTAACATGCGTTGTAACAACCAGTCCGGTAGTTGCATTAGTTTTAAAGTCGCTGTTGCTGGTGAATGGCCTAGGTTCCTTCCTAAGTCAAATTTATTCCTCGACACTAGTTGACTGCGTCTAATTGGTTCTTAGTTCCCCATTACTTCTCGTTATTGGTGTTCACTCGAGCATTCCGCGCGCTGGTTGGTTTCAAAAGCTCTTTTGACACTCGTGCTACATAAACAGTGTAATTCTTCTATTCCAAGAATACTGTACGTGTTTGTGTTAGAGTAGCTGGGAAACCGTGGTATTTGTGATATAACAAAGAGCCATAAACTCAAACAATACCATGGGCTTCTAAAATCAGTGTTATACATACAGTGTACCAGTTTTCCAGCATAGAAAATATATTGGGAAGTAGTGAGGTATCTGTTTAGCTCACAGCGGCTGGCCGAATGAACTGTACGGACGATACTCGTGCATCAGGGGCACGTAAATTTCATACAATATTTTCCCCTTACAAATGTTAAGATAACAAGAAATAACACTTTAACAGAATATGCTAAATTCAGGTATTTCGGGCATTCTAGTAAGTTATTTACCCGAACTTTGCATCGTCTTACGTGCACGAAGTAACAGCGTGCATGTGAACGTTTGGGTCTGATTATGGGTCATGCGAAAGGGATTCTCAACCCAGCACTCATTTTTGGTAGTAACTTTTGTTAAAGAAACAATCTCACCATGGCAAGGCGAGGATGATGGTAAATTCAGTCTGCTTACACAAATTGGGTTTTAACCAACGAATGGTTAAAGCTTCAATAAAGTGAAGCAAATGGGTACTGTTGTGTTGGCTACTTACTCTGAATGAGACACAAGGACCTCGGCAAGTGACGCAGCCTAGAATATGCTGCGCAATAAAGCCAGCGGGCAATTTGGTACCAATGGCGACCAAGTATTGCGGAGTGTGCCCTGAAATAATAGTGAACAGCCTCCTCTTAATTGGGCCAACGTACTTCTTACCACAAGTACAGTGGAAGGGGCAAACACAAGAGGCGGTAACATGATGGTTTAGCTTGTCGACGTTGGATTCATAGAGCAACTTCTTAGGTTGTGTAATAAGATCATTTCGGCCGCTAAATAACAATTAATTAAGGTTTGACAGAGGCGGTACCGGAATTTTTTATCACGTTAGTACTTCACTACTAGAAGCAAGACGAATGCTTTTCCTTGAAACATCTATCAAACGCTTGTCACCGTTCTCTAAGTTTCAGTATCAGGGAATTCCTTTTCATGTAGCATTGGAAATACGCGATCTAGCTCACTGTCAATCGTGTCTTCAGAACAAATGTTGCGAGCTCTAACGTACGTGGAGCAGATTAGTGCTCGTTTGTAATTTACAGGACAGAAACTGTTGAAGTACAGATACAACCCCATTCAAGTGGGCTAGTGATACACATAGATAGAGTGAACGTGCTGTCTGGATCCCGTTTCCATGCGTGAGTAAAAACTAAAGGGCAAACGCCCATCAAACGGAAGGGCCAGCATTTGTAGTTAAAAAACAGGATGGATGAAAGTGAAGTTAAATAGTACGGTAGATGAAAAACGGAAAGAGGAAGGACAAGAAGACGGTAAAACTTGAGCAGTAGCATCTTCACACCTACCCACTACGCTCGATACAGCAGATATGACACCGTCAGTCGACGCAGAACGACAGAAGCAAGTACCCTAAAGGCAAGAAAATTTGGCAGATTCCTTTATTCATGACGCATTCCAAAGTTGAACGCCCTTTGATGACAGAGACGATAACCGAGCAGTTCTAGTCGGTTAGGAGGTTTCTGCTCACAAATCTCCACCAGAAAATCGAGTAAATCGTCTACAAAACCAAGTCCGCCAGATTTAAAGAGGACTAGAGAAAGCTCTCAAGTTTTGATTGCAGGCCCATCTAGTCTTATTCGATGTCAGCAATCTGTTCATCTCAGAAAGCCAGAGTATCAAGTTGGCTAGAGTGAAGTTCAACGTATTGCGTGGGCAGAATACCGTCTAGGCATAGACAGGAAGGGCCGGAACCTGTAAATAGGTCACGATGATACGGGGCTCGGCGAGAAATGTAGTGCAGTAGAAACAGTAGTCCGGTAACCGGTACTTTGAATGCTTCCGCGCGAATGCTGGAAGGAAATCAGTAGATCTGGATGCCTCACGGAACACAGGCGGTGCGTTGCAAAATGCACGGTCACTGCCATCAGACTCCGAGATCTTCCATGGTGAGCTGTTTGAGCTCGGCGTTCAGAGCTTAGCGTAATTACTGTAATTGTACGGTGATCTTAAATAACTTGAACATCGAGCGGAAATCTGATGATGTACCTAGTGAACATACAGATGGCATTGACAAATCTGTGCACCGCATTCCAGATATGTGTCCAATGCGTGTCAACTTCTGTGAGTAGAGAGCTGTTCAGAATAGGTGACGAATTCCGAAAGGTATTCGGCTTAATTGAAACAACAAGTTCACCCACTTCTATCTGTGTCCGACGATGCTGCTAGGCGCCAAAAATGCAGGACGAGTCTAGTACATACAAGCGCATGATCAGAAGTGAGCTAAGTACTTCAACTTGATCTGTTGTCCCATCAACAGCCTCGTCAATGGTAATCGATCACCATGTGGTCATTCTGTATCCACGACCGTGAGCAGCAGAGATCTGTGGCGCTTGACCTACTCATTCCCGTAGCCTAAAGGTAAACAACGTGTCTAGTAATCTGACAACGCTGATTGGAGCCTGTGTCAAGACCGGGCGACTCTCGAAGCATCCTTAGTCCACGTGCGACGTATGTTGCTTGCATGGTGTCGGTATTGCGTAATGACATACAGCTGATGCTATTCTTTTGTTTTCTTAAGCCGCCATGCGAATATCATAGCAACCCAGGCTACCGAAATCTTGTTCCAAAGCTTCGAGCCTACCAACCGGTGCGCTGAGGTCCCCGATGAGAACCACCATATATTTGCAATGATTCTTATGGAGTAGGTCGGATAGTTGACGGTAGAACTCATCTTTAGCTGCGTCCGGGCTGTAACCCGTGGGAACATGCACTGTTGCGTCAAACAAACAGTGCTTGGTTACCTCTCGGCTGCACAATCGTATGGAGGCTTTTACTTAAATTGCACAGGATTAGTTGTTAATTAGAATCCAAACAGGTAGCGCTGCTTCTGCGCGCGCAGTAAACACAACTCGTACACCAGCCTAGTCCGCGACTTCTTCACTTATGTCTCCCGATAAGTTTGGTGTGCATGTATTCTGCGAACGATCTGAGGATTACTTAAATTCATGTGCAAGTGTGTGGTCTGTACACGGAGCTTTTCAGTTACCCAGATAGGAGAAACGGTTAACTATTTTGTAACCCGAGCCAACGCCTTAGTTATTAAAGCCGTTACCCGCAAAGCTGTGAGGCGATTAACATATTTCACGAACCGTCGAGAGCCGATAACAAGAGTCTTGAGTGTCAACAAACTACCTATGGCATCAGAACAGTACGAGTATAGCATTAAAGGGACCATGAACCGTTTCCTGAAGCATCCGACTCGTTGCTGATTAGGAACACAGTCGACAGCCAGGTGGCTCAAACACCTTAATGGTCGATGGTAGTCCACACAGAAGCGGGTAGTAATCTAGGGTGTTGCATCCACCCTCCGTTAGATACTTCATTCCGGTGAAATAGTGGTTGCGCACTCACTCAATATCCGGAAACATTGGCTTTGTGGTATGTACTACATAACCAGATGGACAGCGTCGAACTTCCCCATCACAGCTGGACTCTAACCGCAAGTACGTATTTCAACTAGTAGAGAATAAGCAAGAAGACGCGTCAGCCTGGCACAGTATACTGAACACTTAACGGTTTACATGTGAACATGGAACGTTAGGGTGTGCCCTTGAGTGCGTGTGTGTGTGCTTATCTACGTGTGTATGTGTAGGGCCAATCAGGTTCACGGTCATAGTGAGCGATCATTGGTTGAACACGTAACAGTCCTCCCTGTTTTGGCTGACGTTACAGTCATGGCTGAAAACGTTCGATCGGTTTGCGAATCCGGGTCGATCGGCGTAATTGAGTTTCCCCTGTTGTTCTGTGTTCGTCGTGCTCCGCAGCTTGCTCTACGATCT